ACCCAGCCATGTGGACATCCGAGAAAACGAGCAGGTAGACGACCTGGCGAAGAAAGCTTCATCCCTTCTGCTGGGATCAACGACAAACACTCTCCCACAGACTGACTTCAGAAATAAAGTCAAAAAGTACACCTCCAGTCTGTGGGAGAGCCACTGGGAAAACCAGAAAAATAATAAACTATATGAAATAAAACCTAAGCTAGAACAGCGAAATCCTTCGGACCTCTCCAGAAGAGACGAAGTCATTTTTACTCGATTGCGCATCGGACACACGGCCCTGACCCACAAATACCTCCTACAGGGAGATGAGAAGCCGTTCTGTGTCAGATGCGACACAGATTTTACCATTAGACACATCTTAACCGAATATCTAGACTTTGGAGAGATCCGAAGGAAATATTATAAATGCTAGAAATTGCAAGATATTTTTTCCGTCGTTGTTCCCAGCAGAATTTTGAATTTTATAAAGGCATGACAAGTTGTAAAATGAAAAATGAAAACGTACTATTTAAAATTTTTATTGTTACCTATAAGAGTTGTTTTAAATCACATATTTACACTGAATTTTAATATTTTAACATTTTAGCATTTTCAAGTCAATTAGTTAACCAATCGTGCTGTGAACTTTTGCGAAAGTAAACAACTTGTGTTTCGCGCGCTCATATGACCTTAGCAGTTGCAAGCGCAGTAAAACCCTATACTACATACATACATAAATCCAGCTGCTATTAGAGGAAAGATGTCGTTTACAAAGTGTACAACGGCATCCTACACTGAACAGCAAAGAACGACATGCTGAGAAACATTGAGCAAAAACTGTACCAGGTGCAAGACTCCTCACTGAATTATAACAAAGCTAATGAGATTCAGGGCTTTGAAGAAAAGAATGATATGAAAAACTTCTATAATAGCTTGCAAGAAGTTTATGGCCTTATCATCAAGGGCCCATCTCCACTGCTCCGTGCAGATGAATCAACGCTGATCAAAGATAAAGAGAAGTCTGAGAAGATACTCGAAAGATGGGTGAAACACTTTGACAAGCATGATGGTTTTGTTTAAAGTAAAGTCTGGAAGAGTTGGGCGGCATCATCAGCCTCACTCTCTCGTCCGAGACTACCTGTATATAATGGCAAGACAAAGGCAAGACAGTTGGAGATGGGGACAGATACAGTGGATGACACAAATGTTCTAGGTGCCTCATCTAGCTCTGTGCACTCCACAGAGCATTTATATATAATGGAACCACTTTTCTCTCCATTGGACCATGAAGGTTTCTTCTGCAGAATTTACTGCCATTCCCCTAACTCATTCCCATATTACTGTGAGCTGCTGTAGGGTGTCTCTCTCTTCCACCTTGACCGTTATTTTGAAAATTTGGTTGCCAGACTCTGTTGTGTCCTGTGACCCTAGATCCTCTCGAGTCAAGCCTGTCCAGCACTCCTGGGCACACAATTTGTGTCTGGATTTTTTATCGAGGTTGACTCCTCTAGGTCCATCATGTTTAGCCTAAGAGCTCATTTCTAAGTTACTTGTAACTTCAAACAAATGCAAAAGACTAAATAGTATAAACTATATAGCTTAGATTTTATCATTAGGGCCCTACGCTTTTATGTAACTTTGCGGGAATATTGAGATGAGATGTGGAGTAACTGTGTGAATTTCAAGATTGAGTTGAAGCAGCCTTTCAAACGAATATTCAATACTAAAGATGGGAAAACTATGTACTTCTATTCTAAAATTTTCTGTGTTAATAACTTTGCTCATGTGTCCCAACCCTCTAAAAGGCCAACTTCTAGATAACATCCGTGCCATTTACGAGAACAGCATAAGTACTGTAAGAACGTCGGAAGGATTCACAGAATGGTTCAAGATAAAATCCAGAGTATGACAAGGTTGTGTCCTATCACCACTACTATTTATCATATATATATATGGATAGAATTACAAAAGAGGCCAACTCAGAACCAGACGCCCTAAATGAATTACTCTTCGCTGATGACCAAAGCCTGGCACACAAAAATTAAAGATGAACAAAGTCTCCAACACCACACCTCCAGATTAGATTTAAATGAAGAATGTAACAACTATGACATGAAATCAACATCAACAAAACAGAGACAATGAAAGTAAGCAGAAAGCCAGGACCACTCAGGATACACATCAACAACAACAACCTCAGACAGGTCCAAGAATTTAAATCCGTCGAAAGTATATTCACAGAGGATAGGCGACTGAACAGAGAAATTGTAACACAAGTACAAAAGGCCAATAATGTTAGTTACCAGATTACTCCACTACTGAAACATCTTTAATCTGAAACATCCTAACATCCCCATGACAACAAAACTCAAAATGATCAACGCCATATTCATCCCAACACTCACCTATCAATGCCAAACATGGACCACGAACAAGACATAAGAAAAAAGAATTACAACATGTCAAATGCGATGCCTTTGAAAAGCTGTGAACAAGACCAGGCGAGACAAAATTTGAAACACAGTAATCAGAGAAATAGTGGGCACAAATGATGTTATGCATCACATCCAACACCAAAGAATCAAATGGTTCAAACATCTCATGCGATTACCAACACACCACCTAGCACAACGTGCCTACACAGGAAGTTTGATGTTGGCAAAAATGAAGACCCTGTGGAAACCAGTGAAGTTAAAAAGGGGTGAGAAATTTCCGAAAAAAAAGTTTACGGCTCAGTTTTGGTGCCTGCCACAAGATACTTTTTTCTTTTGGACACCTTACATTTGCTCGATCATAGATAGTTGGCATATATTGTTAGACATATATTATATTGCAGGTGAGAATTTGTTGAAATGATTCTCAAAACTAGTCTCAGTTAATTAGCTTTTTGATTTTCTTGTAGTCATTCTCTTTTTTTTTTTGCTTATTTATAAACCCAAAGTTTTTAGGTTTTAGTGTTTTTATCTCACTGCTCTGATATGTTGCTTTGGTGGTGTTTTTGCAATGATAATTAAAATATGTATGTATGTGTGTGTACCTGACAAGAGGGCCCTTATTTTGGCAAAGTCAATTTGGAGCTAGAGGTCAACAAAGGTGTAAGAGTAAGAGTGATAACAAATAAAAAAATGTAGTGCCGTCAGAAAGTCAAAGTTTTTAACTATTCCTAATTCATTCCAAATGGATGTTGCTCAATTGTATTTGTATTTTGTGTAAGAATCAGTTTAGTTAAACTCTCTTGAGCCTGAGCTATTTTTCAACCCTCAACCATTGCAGCCTGACAGTTTTGGGGTATATTGAATCATTAACCACAACAACAACAAAACTGTGAAATCTCTCATAATTTTTTTAATGCAACAAAAGAGAGGAATAAAATTTCTCACAGAAAAAGAAAACTGCATTTAATTTGTTCGAATAGTTTTTATTTTATCAATATTTTTAAATCGCAATGTCTCAGGATTACGCACATTTTAAAAAATAAAATCATCTGTCGCAATGAAGGGATGACTGGCTTAGTTCGTTTCAGCTAAAAAAATATCTCACATTACTTCACTAAATTTTTTATGGAATGAAACAAGGGGGCCAACTGTTGGCTCACCGCTTCCCGTAGCTTGTAGCTGAAAAACACTGCAGAAATGGATCCATAAAGCGCTTACCGTAAATACACAGGAATAGGCCACTGGGCCGATGGAGCGTCCCATAAATACACGGGAATAAGCCACTGGGCCGGCGGGACGTCCTGTAAATACACGGAAATAGGCTCGAGTGAGTTAAGATTAAGAGGTTTCTAGAAAGAAAAACTGAAAAAAATGGTTAAAATAGGGAGTGATTTTTTTTTTCAAAATTGAGTATTTTGAGATGTTTCAACTTTGAAGCACTTACAATAGAACAAAAACTATTGGCAAGGTTTATCTCAACCAACACGGTACAGTTCAGTAGGTTAGAAAGTTTTCAGATTTTCCCCAGGCGGTAGCTGAGGTTTCTAAGAGTGGGGGATAAAGGAAAAGTGTCTTTAGCCCTGTTCTCATATAGCAGAACACTCAGTGGTTTCCTAAAGCTTAAAAGCTGTGCATGCTTTCTGTTCTCTTGTTATGTGTTTTAAGAGCAGTGTTGGCAATGTATTTAAGAATAAGTGCACCATGTGTGTGTTGCTTTGCTGTTTAGTAATGGCTTCAAAAAGCTGTTTGCTTTTCTTATTATTGAACAAAGTACAATGGATGATTTGCAACTGTGTTTAGCATTAATTAAATACCAAGTTGGCATCTAACAAAGATGGCATTATTGATTCCATATATTATTCAGAATAAGAAGAATATGGAGCATATCTTTAGTTGAAAATTTTAAAAGATAGAGACGTCTATTTTGAGTATTTTTAAATGGCATCCAAGCAAATGGAAGCTTTAATAAATGTTGCGGGCCCTGCAATTATAATGTAGATGGCTATCTCTGTTTGTTTGTCTAACTAGGCAACTTCTTGAAACGCACAACATTGAGTGATTTATAACTGCTGATGGCTTTCAGGTCTAATGAGAATGGGTTGAGGAAGAATTAAAAATCAGTAGTTTCCAAAAACAGCCAGCAAACTTTTAGCGGACAAAAACTGTCACCAGAAAAAGCTACTAGAGAACAGGGCTTCAGACCAATCAATGATAATTGTAAAGCTCTTACCTCAATTCCTGCACTGATGATGCAAGTAATGCAAACTTTTGTAATTTCTGTAGAACATCAATGCTTTTCACCATTTAAATACATGGGCTACAGCATGTTTTAAGTGCATGCTTTGACCTTGGTTGTGAGAATTTTTGTGTCAAATTGTGTCTCCGTGTCAAGCACTTGTCTTTTTAAAAATGCTTATAGTCCCGGAAACAGCCAATGCTAGTTTGACCATATTTCATTTATACTTTAGTGACATGCAGATGCTACTGGTTAAGCAGATTTGTCAGCTAAAATAAGCATTTATTGTTTACCACATGTGATGATGAGCCTAATTATTTTCTTTAATGATAATGATTTCTGTTTTCCAGATAACTGCTGACCAACATCAAATGCTACAAGAAAGCTATGAAAACATCGAAAACTTTTCATTTGACACCATATCCAACATCAAACAAAAGATGTTGAAAACCCTTGCATGTAGTAAGGATTAAATATAGATATATTTAATGAAGCTGACCAAGCTTAGTCATGAGGATGTTGGAGTTCCTGAGACGTTTTGCACCAAGGGTGCCTTGGAGCATAGTCTTCAGTCTCTTCATAGCCTTCATCATCAGCTTCTACATGATGTTCACGATCATGAATGATCGCTTTATGCACCATCAAAACTGGTATGATTTCCCAGCTCCCTGTTCACGCCCAAAAGATATGCTTGATGCAATGGCGAAGCTGGCATTCACTGCCTCAGATGTGCTGACACAGTTGAATGTGTCGCATGCCCTGTGCTATGGAACACTGTGGGGTGCACTGAGGAATGGAGAGATCTTGCCCTGGGACAACAATGTTGATGTAAGTTGATTCATTCCCCCCTTCCGCCCCAAAAAATTCACTTCTTTTGTTGTATTTGAAGCAAAACTTTTATTTTGATTGCATAAGCTGTGTTATACACTATAAGGACTGCAACAGGTTTTAAAGTGGATACAATGATAACATGTAAATGTCAGCCCAGCTAATGGAAATATTGAAATGATGACACAAGACTTTCTTCTGGTCATTATTTCCTGTCAATGTCAGAGAAACCAAATGAGGTAGCACTGAAAGAGGCTTAAGTGGACCACTCAGCAATAAAACAAATCCAAAAGAGACAAATTCTGTTTCTGGGACACTTTGTTAGACATAAAAGGCCATGAACATCTCTCTCTCGCTGGAGAAAAAGTAGAAGACAAAAGAGGCAAGTGTAGACCAAGAACAATTTACTTTGAGAATTTTATCCTATGGGTGACAGGGACAGGGAAATACCAAGACGATCTGTGTCACAACACGGTGAAATCAGGAGTTTGTCTATAATTGGGAAATCGAGAAAATGGCTATCAAGGTTTGGTTATATGTGGTTATTTTCAATGTTTTCTGTAAAATCCACACAGAAATGTATTCTAAATGGATTTAAAAGGTGTTGAGTTTTTTTTTAATCAAAAAAGTTTGATAAAAATTGCCCAATGGATGGAGAAATTCGACTTTCTTTCCTTTCATTATTTTGACAAGCACTTGATTTCACCACGATGCTATGCATATGTGACGAGTCCCGACGGTTTGGTCCACTAGGTACACATTTCATAATTACTCTTCATGTGACACCAATATCAAATTAATGAATACAATAATATTTAAAGAAATGATGCACAATTCAATTTTGGAATGCTTCACTGCTGTCCGAGGCAAAATACTGAGATATTTGCAATCAAAGATTGACAAATACCCCCATCACAGAAAAAAAGACCCAACAAGTGTTTTTGGCAATTTTTGCTATTCAGCTCGATGTACCTAGTGGACCGAAACATTGGGATGCGTCACATAAAAGTTTTTTTGAGACCCTGCAAGCAGATAGATGATTGTCAAACAATGATCATCAATGTCTGATTTTGATCTAGATCTAACACTCCATGATGGTGAATATCAAAGTCAAGATAGACTCAAGATTTTGAAGTCCAGACTTTGATCATTTTTCACCTGTTTGTACACATATCTGAAGAATTTTGCAAGTCAAGATCAGTCGTGTTCAAAAGTTGGCTATTAGACAGTTGTAAATTCCAAAATGTTACAGATGAACAGACTTTTGAACAATAACCTATCTTATTCTGTTGATAATGGTGAGTTTTATGTGACAAAGAAACTTGAGTGCGTCTTTTACTTTTGTGTAGCCTTTCATGGCAGCAGAACATTGCCAATCTTGTTCTTAGCTGCTGCATTGTAATTTGCCAGTCTTGTTCTTTGCTACTGTATTGTTATTTTCCCTTGCAGTTAAAGGGTTTCTGGAAAGCACTTGATACATTTGTCAGTTACTTTGAGCTGTGCATTGTATAAATGCTAAACGGATAGTAATGCGACTCAATGTGTTGACTGAGAGCTAGCTTCCAACCTGCTCAGCAGTACATGTTAAGTCCAATCTGCTCTAGTGGCCACCTGTCCTAGAGTAAACGACATGCACCTGTATAAAACCATTTCTTTTCTTTCCAACAATGGATGGCTGTCATAAAAAATTAAGACTGTTCTTTTATTTTGACTTACTTTGTTTGTAATGGCATACTTCTCTCTTTTTGGGGGTTTTTGGCAGGCGCTCTGAAGTGGTTTGTTCCTTCTTTTCCATCTAGCTTTTACCCTCCCTATAATCTCTCCTCCTTCTTTTCTTTGTTTGTTACTCGCTTGTACACCGCTAATCTTCAGCAATTGTATAACCTATTTGTGTTGCAAGTGCTGTAACACCCTCACTGAAACTAAACTCACTCTTTTCTTTATCCTTAGGTATGTGTGATGAGAGAACAGATTCAGAGACCTGGATGGCATAACTTACATAAAGCCTTCCAGTCTCGCAACTTGCCGATTGTTTATGACTATCGTCATGGAGAGTACTCAATTGTGGATGGCTCAGCCGAGGTGGTCATCAACGTGTTCTACTCCACCGTGTGGGAAGAGGTGTTACATGACGGTTGGGAGCACCGCTTCCTCTGGTTCTTTCAGGACCAGCCAGTTTCTTTCCCAAGGAGACTCCTAGCCCTTCCCTTGCCAAAGATAAAGTTTCACGGCAAAGATATGCCCATCCCCCATGATGATCTAGAGATGTTGAAATATCTGTACAGGGATAATTGGTGGCTAGTAAAAACACCTCCTGGTTGTCCGCCTAGTCAGTAGTTTTTGTGCTTTGGGAATGGATGAAGATAAAAGGTGAAAAAAATAGAGCAAGCAGATGAGAACAGAATTTTGTTCTGAAAATTTTTTACCCATTATGTCAAAATGAAGTAATACGGTTCCGTACCGTATACAGAAATAGTGATCCATGCTAGAGGAGAGATTGAATGCTCCTCCTTTTATCATATTTTTTATTTGAGGCCTCATCCAGAACATCTACTTTTGATGAGATCAAACTAGATGGAAAGTCAGAAAACATGAAATACTGCTCGAGAAATGGATGTCCAAAGTAAGCGCAGCTTTACTGAGGCCTGAAACATATTTCTGTAGAATAAAACATATGATTGATTTTTTCTCTTGCTGGCAGCACATCCATTGCATTGCATATTTGTAAAACAATCATTTAGGAGTTTCCCGATTGAGCACCATGAGCATCGCACAAACCAAACGAACACAGCAGTTCTCCAAAGATGGCTACCCCCTTGGAAAATTGGTCAAGGGTAGAAGTGAAGTCTCTCATTCGGTTTCTGACCGCAAAAGGTCTCAAACCTATAGAAATACACACTGAAATAAAGTCAGTTTACGGGGAGAAAGTAATGGCAGAGTCACAGGAATATGAGCGGTGTAGTAAATTCAAAGCCGGGCATACGGATGTCAATGACAAAATTCACCCAGGACCTTGTTTTTCTGCCAAGACTGAGGACAACAAGAGTCACGTTAACAAATTCATTCAAACAGACGGCGCTTATTAAAATTTCGCGAAATTACTGAATCGCTAAACATTTCAAAGTCGACTGTCCATAGGATAGTGTTTGATGAGCTGCACTATCGAAAGGTCTCTGCTCAATGGGTCCCAAAAGAGCTGACAGCTGACCACAAGACGCAACGTGTTGAAGTGTCTCAGACTTTGTGGAATCGTTGTCGCCAAGCTGTCACGGGAGTCATGAACGCATCTGGAGACCTCCAACAATACGATTAAGCATTCCAGAGAAGCATTATTACTGGTGATGAGACTTGGATACACCACATGGCCCCTGAGACGAAGAGGGATTGAATGGTTTGGAAGCACACGTCTTCACCTCCCCCCCAAAAAAGTTTAAAGTTCAGCCATGGGTGAAGAAACCCATAGCCACGGTTTTCTGGGGTTCTAAGGGTGTTCTGCTTTTTTACATTCTTGAACCAGGAAAAACTGTTAATGCTAACAGACACTGCCAGACTCTTGATAAGTTGAGAGAGGTAATGCGCCGAAAAAGACCAGGCCGGTTGTCCAGCGGGGTCATTTTGCAGCATGACAACGCAACGCCACACACCGCAACCGCTATGAAACACTGGATCCCAAGACTGGGAAGTTCTGCCACACCCCCCTCATAGTCCTGACTTGGCCCTGTCAGATTATCACCTTTTTGGACTAATGAAACGCGATATTTCTGGACAGCGATTCACCGACGACGAAGACCTCGTGGAAGCCGTGAAAGATTAGTTGAAATCCCTTGACGTAAAATTCTTCAGGGAGGGTATCTTCTCCCTTCTCCAACGATGGGAAAAATACGTCCAGCGGGATGGTGATTACATTGAAAAATTAACCACATGTTGATGTATGATGTGCTACATTTTTATTATAATAGGACAAAGATTGTTGCTTTTATGGACCTTTTCCGGTTTTCCGTGGGACAGCCCTCGTATTAGGTGCTGTACTGTGGTAAACAACAAGATTAGAGAAATGATGGAAACAACACCTGTCCTCCACTACATCCGAAGGCTAACAATCAGGTGGTTTGGACATCTCACACGTATGGCACCTAACCAACTTGCCAGTAAAGCCTACTACAGGAAAGTGTCTGGGTACAAAGCAAGAGGAAGACTAAGAAAGACCTGGATCCAGGGTGTGAAGGACGCCCTGAGAACATTCAATCCCCACCCAGCCAGGCCATCAAACTTGCTAGAGGCAGGAAGCTCTTTTTCCCCTCGACACCCGAGAGGTACAAGAGGACGGATAAAGTAAAGTAAGTAAAGTAACAGAGACTGGTCAATCATGGTTTTATATATGATTATTACAACAAGGTGTATCTCATGACAATTATGTGAGGTATGAGATTTTTGTGGTGCTCTCTAGAGCGTTTGTTTGATATAACTATCTAATATCTGCTCTTGAAATGTCCCAAACTGCATGAACTCCGACAGCAACTTCTTCCTCCCATCTCTAACACAGACAATAGCCTTTACTATACTACAGCAAAGAACAACTTTTGAAGACCTCCACTTTTTTTACTCGACATTACGTTTAAGTTTAAGTTGAAGGGCGTAAATTCAAAGGCTACTAGATTAATAACAACAACAACACATATAACACATTTCTGTCAGATCATTTATTTTATTAGCCATTTTTATTAGGGTAAGATATTTTTATTCTTTTTGTTGGAAAGAAATATTTTTCTTTTCAGCTGATTCACATTCCAGGCAACCTAGTCTAGTTTATCAGTGCACATATGAATCTAGTATGTGAAATGTTTTATAAAAATTCATGGTCTTAGTCTTGATTGTGAAAGCCAACTTGTGACTTGTGATTTCATGATGCCTAAATGATTGATTTGTTTTGATGTTGGCAGCAATTCCATTGCAAGGCATAAGATATATAATTATAATTCATTTACTCTAGTAACCGATTCATCGATGTACACATTATGTCATGTTGCTCAATGTCTTTCCTGCATATTTTATCGGTGATGCCTGTGTTATATGTTGTAAAAAATTTGAATATTCTCTTACCCCCCCGGGGCCGTGCCACTGACTGAAGTGTCTTTAGGCCTTTCCCAAAGGGGGGACATTTCTCGTTCATGCACAGTAGAATTGTAAATGGGCTGATTCATCAATGTCATGCTCATAACTGTGCCTGATCTACAACAGGGAACTGCTTCTTTTTCTTTCCTAATCCTTACTATTGTCATTTTTCCTCTTCTTCTTTTGTATGTTTGTCACACTCTTGTGACCCGCTATTTCCAGGGTGCCTTGAAAGTCGAAACAGACTTTATGCTGTTGAAGCTAGAGAGGTGAGCAGAGTAAGCCTGATTCCCTGTAAAGACTTCTCTGTTGACATCCACCCCTTGGCGCTCATATGACCTTATGCAGTTGTGAGTGCCGTAAAACCTCTACTAAATAAAATAAAATAAAAGAATATTCTCTTCTCTGTTTACTGAATGGAAAACTCATGGGGTTTTTGTGTAGGGGAGTCACACTTGTATACTTGTCATCAGCTCGAGAGTGGGAGGGAGGGGGATGGGGTTCGCTTATCGCTGAGATTTGTTTGGAAAAAACACAGTTCAGAAATACAAATAGAAAGCACAAAGGAAATGTTCAATATGCCTTTAGAAAAGAAAAAAAAGTCTTTCAAAAGCTCATTCTTCTTCATATCATTCAAAAGAATAATTAACAAAATGTGGACCTGGTCACTGTCAGTACTCTGTTGTGCCAATTAGCTTTATAGAGGAATTGTAACTCTTCTTCCACAGCTTCATCACTTATATGTTGTGCTTGAGAGTGAGTTCCTTTTCAAAGGGGTTTTTAGAAAATTAGAAAACCGATTTTTTATAACTAAAGGTTACTCTTCTAAATTGTCTTTAAAGAATAATTGGCAAATGGTGAGGTACAAAGGTTGGTACTTTCTAGAGGAATTATTTTTCCCTCCATGTCTTTACCACTTATTTGTGGTGCATTAAGACCGAGTTCATTTTTAAAGTGTTTTTGAGAAAAATGAAAAAAAAGCGTTTTTAAAGGTTACTCTTCCTACATCTTCCACAAGAATAATTGGTTAATGGTATTTACGGTCACTGCTTTGCTGTACAAAGGTAATCAGCTTTCTTGAGGAATCCTAATTCTATTTTCACAGCTACACCACTTATTTGTGGTACATTGAAACCAAGCTCATTTGTGAAGTGGTTTCAATAAAAATTAAAATGTTTTAAATACCACGGATTGATTACCATGTGATTGAGTAAGTGATGTTGCCTGTACAGGATCAAGCTCAAAAGCCTTATATATAAAAAGCATGTTTTATCTTCATAGCATAACTTGTAAAGATGAAAGCTAGTTTTATTAGTCACCAATGTTGGTCTGTGTGAGGTCAAAAGAATATGTTTTTTTTTACTGTCAAGCACCGCTAATACGAACACGAAAAACTCAAAATCTTGAATAGCTTGTACAATTCGCCATTCCATGACTGATATCGCTTCCGTTTTTCATCATTGGTTAACTTGAAATATTGATGTGTTGAACACATTTGTCTATCCTCGAAGTAGCCCATTCATATTTGTAATTGTATTAATGTATTTATATTATGGGAGGTTTCAGCCTCACGTTTTCTTTCTTTTTTGGATTTTTTGTTTCTTTTTTGTTTGGCTGTTTGTTTGTTTTTTTATTGTTGTTGTTTTACATTGAGTTAAATGCATTTTGCAAGCATTGAATGTGAAACACACTCAGGGTTTAGACAAAAAGGAAACATTTCGTCATGAACACACTTTGTAGCTCTGTAGTATGTTTGGTGAAATATAATGGAAGTCTGAGATTGTAGATCTGATCTGTCGAGTATATTTTCTTATTGGTCACACCATCATTCTGTTTGTCAGAACTGCTGAATATGGTTTTGACGTGGTGTAGTTTTTGGTGTTGGGAGAAAAGGCAAAGGAGTCATATATTGCCTGATACATGATATGATCTGTGCTGCCATATTTTAGATCGTTGGGTATATCTTGTGTGATTTTGTTCATTCTGTCTCAATTGTCTTTGACTTTGATTTGCCATACAGATTTTTGCAAGGGTACATTTTGCTTTTTTTAGCTTCATTTTGTAGTGTATTCATTACTCTGAAATGCTTCAATCAGAGTTGTGTAAGTTTCTTGTAATGAAATTGGTTCCTTTTTCCTTTTTTTCCCTCTTATTTTGATTGCTATGATAATATTTGTACTCTCTGCTACTTCCTTGTAGTGGGGTCCCTTAATGGCGAAAATTAGGTGTATGCTGCACTTCATGTTAGAGACATACTGTAAGGTGCATATGTCTCGTAAGACAATTACCTTTCAAATAAGCAAGGGATCCATGATGATCCTTGACCGGAAGTGGGTGTGGCCAGCTGTCAAAGTAGGTCACTATAATTTTTCTCAGTCTACTCACTAAACCACTACATTATATTGTCAACAAATATCCAGATACAAAAGGAGAACTCAAAATGTAAGATTTCTGTCTATCATTCACGAATGATAATGAAAAATACATTTGGCATATAAAAATGGCAAAAATAGGGTCTAATAATATTTCATGTAATGAGGTCACGCCGACATACTACTACTAGGCCAGTAAAAATTGACATCGAACCCGGACTTAAAAGATAAC